GAAGCAGACTCCCCGCTGAGCAGGGAGCCCGATGTGGGGCTCGATCCCAGGACCCTGAGATCATGACCTGAGCCGAAGGCAGATGCTTAACCAACTGAGCCCATCCAGGCGCCCCTAGAGACTACTCATTTTAAAAGAATTTGCGTGTCTTCTATGATGAGAGAATTATCCTTTTGATCAAAGGATCACTTCGCAAGTGGTCTTTTTTTTTTTGTTTTTTATTTTTATTTTTTGGCAATCTCTACACCCAACATGGGGCTCAAATTCATGACCCTGAGATCAAGAGTCACATGCTCTACCGACTGAGCCAGCCAGGCGCCCCTCTGAAAATTTTATTTTTAAGTCATCTTTACACGCAGTGTGGGGCTTGAACTCACAACCCCAAGATCAAGAGTCGCATGCCCCACTGACTGAGCCAGCCAGGTGCCTCATAGGGTGGTCTTTTTAAACTCTCCTAAAAAAACCCAAAAACAAAACAGAGCAAACAAACAAAAACTCTCCTAATTAAAAACCTTCAAAACTAGAGTGGGCCCTTACTCGGTGCCACATACCAACCTCAGTACTTTTCATGATCTCATTCATCCTTAGAGCGCCTACGAGGTAGGTGGTGGTATTATCCCCATTCCCCAGCACAGAAACGGGAGTTTGGGGTAGTGAACTTGCCCCAGACCTCACTGCCACCGAATGCAGAGCTGGGCGGAAGACTGGGTGCGCCTGACCTATGATGAGACCAGCGCTTCACACACTCGAACACACATGAGCCCGGGAGCTCGTGAAAACGCACGCGTGGGGCCAGCGTTAAGCTGTGGGGCCCGAGATGCTGCATTTCCAACGAGCTCCCAGGTGTTGCGATGAGGGCCCTGACCAGCCTTGGAGGAGCAAGATGTGGTTCTTTTTCCGATAGCCTCACAGCTTCCCATCTCCCAACCCTTGTCATCCCTTCCGTAAGGCTCCCCCATGGCACTGGCCATGTCCTTTTGTGTGCGTCCCAGCTCAGCCCGGGATAGGGGCCTGGCT